GGCCTTACAGAGATTCAATGCCTTGAATAAGAAAGGGACCACCTAGAAGACTCAGAAGGTTGCACAGAAGGGTCTGATGTATATTGGGATATCCATAAATGAGAGGCCTACAAAAGATATGGTTGACACGGGCACCACCCACAACTTCATCTCGGTGGAAGAGGCACAACGCCTGAAGCTCACTCCAACTAAGGAGACGGGGTGGCTAAAGGCGGTAAATTCTAGTGCCAAACCCATCGAGGGGGTGGCTCATGGAGTAGAACTACAAGTGGGAGACTGGAAAGGGCTTGTTGGTTTATCTGTAGTTCCTATGGATGATTTCTAGGTTATCTTGGGCATGGATTTTCTATCTCAGGTGAAGGTGGTGCCCGTGCCCTTCCTCAATTCTGTTTGCATCTTTGAAGAGCCCTTGCCTTGCGTGGTACCAATCATGCCTAGGGCTAACCAACCAAACAAGCAGTTATCGGCCTTGCAGCTTCGAAAGGGTGTTCGAAAGGACGAGGCTACCTACTTAGCCACCATGGTGAACCTTGAAGCACAAGAGTCAGTTCCAAGAAGTGTACCCCCAAAGGTCATGGCCGTTTTGGACGAATTTGTAGATGTTATGCCACCACAGCTCCCAAAGACGTTGCCTCCCAGGCATGAAGTTGATCACAAGATCGAGTTGGAACCAGGTGCCAAGGCCCCAGCTCGCCCTCCATATCGCATGGCTCCTCCAGAACTTGCTGAGTTAAGGATGCAGTTGAATGAGTTGTTGGAAGCTGGGTTTATCCAACCTTCTAAGGCTCCTTATGGAGCACCGGTTTTATTTTAGAAGAAATACGATGGCTCACTTCGCCTTTGCATTGATTACCGGGCTTTGAACAAGCTCACCATCAAGAACAAGTACCCCATCCCTCTAGTTGCAGACTTGTTTGATCAGTTGAGCCATACCAAGTACTTCACCAAATTAGACATGCGTTCGGGCTATTATCAAGTCCGCATTGCTGAAGGTGATGAAGCCAAGACCACCTGCGTCACAAGATATGGGTCATTTGAATTCCTTGTCATGCCTTTTGGGCTCACTAATGCCCCAACCACTTTTACTTTGATGAATCACATTTTTCATCCTTACCTCGATCAATTTGTTGTTATTTACATTGATGATATTGTAATTTATAGTAGTTCAATGGAGGAGCATGTTGACCACCTCCGCATTGTATTCTAGGTACTGCGGGAGAATCACTTGTATGTGAAGAAGGAAAAATGTTCATTTGCTAGTGAAGAGGTGGCCTTCCTTGGGCACATCATCCACGTGGGCACCATCAGTATAGACCCCGCCAAGGTTAGGGCCATTCAAGACTGGGAGCCCCCTACCACATTGACAGAACTCCGTTCATTCTTGGGGCTTGTCAATTACTATGGGAGATTCATACCAAGCTACTCAGCTCGGGCTTCCACTTTGACTGACCTCCTAAAGAAGGTTGTGTTAGAAGAACCGGTGCTGACCCTACTGGACCCTAACAAGCCCTACGAGATGCACACTAATGCTTCAAACTTTGCTATTGGGGGTGTGTTGATGTAGGATGGCCACCCCATTGCTTTTGAAAGTCGTAAGCTCAATGAGGTTGAATGAAGATACACAATGCAAGAGAAGGAGATGACGACCATTGTTCATTGCTTCCGCACTTGGCAGCATTATCTTCTTGGCTCCCGCTTTGTTGTGAAGACAGACAACATAGCCACTAGCTACTTCCAATCTCAGAAGAAGTTGAGCCCAAAGCATGTATGTTGGCAAGACTTTCTGGCTGAGTTTGACATGACATTGGAGTACAAGCCTGGACCTATGAAGAAGGTTGCTGATGCTCTCAGTAGGAAGACAGAACTAGTTGCCCTCTCCTCCCGCAAGCCGTCCGCGTGCCAAATTTCAGTGAACCTCAAAGACCGCATCCAAGAAGGGCTCAAGAAGGACCCCCAAGCTAGTAATCTGATGAAAGTTGCACGTGAAGGGAAGACTTAGTGGTTATGGGTTGAAGATGATCTCTTACTCACTCGGGGTGGTCGAATGTTTGTTCCTCGGGCTGATGATTTAAGGAAGAAGCTTCTTCGGGAATGTCATGATAGTCTTTGGGCTGGACATCCTGGCTCGCAACGCACCCTTGTCTTGTTGCAGCATGCTTATTATTGGCCTCGCATGGAGGATGATGTGAGAGAGTACACTAGGACCTGCTTGATCTATCGACAGGACAAGCCTGATCACCAGAAACTCATGGGATTACTTCAGCCATTGCCTATCCCTATGTTCCCTTGGGAGAGCGTTTCTATGGACTTCATTAGCGGCTTGCTCAAGGTCAGAGACTATGCTTCCATTTTAGTCGTAATTGATAGATTCTTTAAGTATGCAACTTTCATTCCTACACCCAAGTCATGCCCGCCGAGGAGACAACATACTTATTTTTCAAGCACATTGTCAAGTATTGGGGCGTACCATAGAACATTGTCAGTAATCGTGATCCCCGCTTCACCAACGCCTTTTGGACATAACTCTTTAAGCTCGTGGGGTCGCAGTTGAACTTCTCCAACAGCAACCACCTAGAGTCATATGGACAGACAAAGAGAACAAACTCCCTCTTGGAAGAATATCTTTGGCACTTGTCTCTGCCACACAGAAGAATTGGGTTCACCTCCTGGACATCGCACAGTTCTCCTACAATGCATAGAAGACCTCGACAACGAACAAGAGTCCATTTGAAATCATCACTAGCCAGCTGCAGCAGTGTCCACACACAGTTGCAGTCAAGTACCAGGGAAGAAGTCCAAAAGCATTCACCTTCACCAGGGACTGGAAAGAAAACCTTGACCTTACCAGAGCTTCCCTAGAGAGAGGGCCTCCTAAAGAATGAAGAAATGGGCTGACCAAGGTAGAAGACCTGATCCCTTCCAAATAGGTGACCTAGTAATGTTCAAGTTCCACCCAAACAACCTTCAACTTTTTAGAAGAATTCACCCTGGTCTCGTAAGGAAATACGAAGGTCCTTGTGAGATCGTCTCCTGAATAGGACAAACCGCCTACCGTCTCAAGCTACCCTCATGGATAAAAGTCCACCCAGTTTTCCATGCCAGCTAATTGAAACCTTATCATGCTGACACCCGAAACCAATCCCATCGACCTCCGTCAACTTTTCGACCACCAAAAACCCGCAAAGTAGTTCTCATCTATGGCCATAAGACCTCCCCTTCTACCCAGACTCCCTAGAGAGAATACCAGGTGAAGAAAAGAGTTGGGAGCTTGCTGAAGACCTTTTGCCTTTTGCCGACAAAGTTGAAGAGTACCTGAAGAAGCGATCTTCGAGGACGTAGATCGAATTGGGTGGGGGAGATTGTCATAGGTGAAGCTTGCCGAGGTGCCATTAGTGTGTCAGTGTATGTGTCTTGGGTGGGCTGTTGTACTCTTTTTGTAAGTGGAGTTTTGCCAATGGCATTTCTTGTAAATAGTTGTATGATTTTCTAAGAATGCAATGTAATCTTTTGTCACTCCCCCAAAAGCTTAAGCTACTCTTTGAGGGGAGGTAGATAGTTGAGTGGAACTAAGACGTGTAAAGGTTAAGCACGAGATCCCCTCGTCACTAAATTATGTGCTTGTGCTTGCCACTTTTCATGCAATATAAAGTGCATTTTTACTAATTTGTGTGCCTCGTTGTCTTTGTTGCCTCTTTTATTGTTTCGTAGGCTAACTCGACCCATTCGAGTGCTGCACGGGGCATTGCCAACCAGCCCCGTGACAGCTGGGTGGGTGGCTTGGGGGTGTGAGGTAGTTACACGGGCTGGGGGCCATCTTGGAGGTGCGGGGTGGCTAGGCGGGTGTATGTAGGCACAAGGTGGATAGGCGGACTATGTAGGCAGGTGTGGTAAGAGTGGTTGGGCACTTAGACCTTTCATCGATCAGGTGCAGAGCAACATCAGTCTAAATCGTTTTACTTGTAAATGTTTTTCCCGTCCATCGATGGCTGCCGGTGGGTGACTTTGGGGTAGCACTCTGACTCCTTGGTTCACCTTTGCTGACGTCGGTAGCCATCGGCCTCCTTTGTTCACCGAGCTTGAAGTTCATAACCGAGGTGAGATACCTCTGGTCGTCGTTGGCCTGGGAAGAAACAAAACCAGGACCAAGCTCAACTCTGGTTATCATTGGTTATACCTCAATGTCCCATGAAGCCAAACTGAAGGGGCATTTTTGACCATAAAAGGTTATGAATATCATTTTCCCAAAATATAAGAATCATATGGTGTGGCATGTGAATAGATTAAGACGGATTTTGATGGAATACTAAGAACAGGGATTGAATTAATCAGTTGTCATTTCTTAGGGGTAATTTAAGAGAATTCCCCTACTTCTTTTATAATTATTAATAAATAATATTTTAGGGTGGATCTTTTCCTTAAAATAAAAGAATAGTGTAGGGCTTGGGATGCAGGATTATATATTTGGTTTGGTTATTATAATCTCCGTTCCCACAAAATGGTTCTGGGATGACTTTTTCAGGAACCAAAACCAATATCGGCCCGTCACTGACTCGTTTGGCTATTGGCGCACGGCGCACATTCTAATTGATAATTCTATCGGTATGGCGGTATCCACTACCACAACCACTGGTGTGTGAGTGTGGACTGTGGACGGGGGGATGCACGCCCAAGTCTTTGCCCACCCATTAACAAATACCAAACCAAGACTGCTGTGCTGGTGCTGCGGAAAAGAGCCAGGCAACGGTTTGGCCGCGCCCCCCCTGCACCACCGACTTCACACCAACGTTTTCAATGCCAAACTTGTCCTTTTTGTGCGTGTGGAAGAATTAACATCTGCGCCCAACTGCACATCCCAACCATATATTGGAAACGTCTCCTGATGATAAGTACGGGAGATGTTCCCAATTCACGCTGAGATGTACATGTGGGCCGATGATGTGATCTCCCCATGGAAAAGCCCCAGTTTTCCATTGCTGCTTCGACTATCCAAATATACTAATAAATGCAGAAGATAAAATGGAAAACAAAGCATTTCCTGTTTCCGTTGTTTCCGTTTCAAAGAAGATAAACAATCCAAGAAGAAGAAGAAGAAGAAGAAGAAGAAGAAGGAGAAGAAGAAGAAGAGGATGGTCCTTCTGTTTGTCTGTCGAAGTCTCAATATCGATAATTAGCGAATGTTGCTGACGAACCTTAACCTCTGCTTCTTTCCCTCCAATTCCTCACTTCGCTCTTCTCCCAAGCTTTCCTTGTCTCACAGGGTCCGTTGCCGCGCCGCAGACCCTCCTGTAAGTCCCACCTCTTCTCGCTGGTTCCAAGTCCCGGGAGTGATCGATACATCTAATGGCGTCGGACTCCGTCTCGGTCAAGACTCGGACACAAGTGGCATGGATGGGTTGAGGCGGAGCCCCCCTGCAAACACTACTAGGGTCACTGCCAGAGAGAAGAGATGGTCACGCGACAGGGAGAGCTACCTGGCAGATGATGACGATGCCCTTCCCCTTCCCATGACTTATCCAGATTCTTCTCCGGCTCCCCCGGAGGAGATAGATCGTCGCCTCCAGTGCGACCCCCAAGTTCAGGTGATTGTCTACCTTCCATTTCATCTTTCTTGAATTTCACCGGTTTAGAAGCCAATAGCACATTGATTCATGCTTTATTTCTTTCAATGAATTTGACGGCCTCTTTTTTCTGAGCTTAGGACTGTAAAGAAGTCGTTTATGAGTGGACTGGAAAATGTAGAAGTTGCCAAGGTACCGGTTTTGTCAGTTATTATAGCAAAAGAGGAAAGGAGATTATCTGCAAATGCATCCCTTGCCTTGGAATTGGTATTCTTCTTCTCTACTGTACTGTACTTGCTCTTTGGGTGCTTTCGAACAAATTCTGCTTCTTTTGCTTAAACTGCAGCGCTGATAAAATTAAAAATTAGAAAAATTCATTCACCCGAACGAAAAGTAATTACAAATTCCACTACTTCTGTGTCTTTTTTCCTCTGTTTGGCAACAAGGAGTAGTATATTTTCAAAATTTTTATTAAATTGTTTCTTCCATCAGTTTGGGTGCTGTGTACTAGTGAACGACTGAATGTTTGGTTACTATCCTTTGGTGCTAGTTTTTTTTTTTTGATGAATTATCCTTTGGTGTTAGGTTACAAGTTTGGGCAAAATGAGCAGAACTATTCTCTGATTGATTTTGAATGTCATAGTCCAGATTTGGAATCTGCGTTCACAAAACATAGAGCTTGATATTAATGGGTCAAAGAAATTCTTCAAAGCATCTAGCTTTAGGTAGATTGGTTCTAGTATTACTTCAAGCTTTCAGGTGTAGAAGCTGTGGAATGTCAGAACTTCTATTTATAATTCTTCTGCACTTTTACGGGTAATCCACCCTTTGATTTGAAGAGACATTGTTTTGGAGTGAAACTGCTTAGAAACACTTAAACTAAACATTATGAAACCATCTTACTGTGGTCTCTGGTACACTTTGGGTATCATATGGGGCTTCATCTGAAAACTTTAGGTAGACTTATCAACTGACATGATAAATTCTTGGAGCTTCCCATGAAGGTGAAAACTAATTTTTATTTTATATTTCAATGGTTTTGAAATGTGCTAAACTGAGAATATATGGACTGCACTTGCATATGAGATATAGGAATGGATATGCAAAAGTCGTTACGATATGTGATCAAAAGATTCCATTCTTTTTGATGGTAATATATGAACAAAAGATTTCTTAAAGCAACCATTTTTGACATCTTGGCTCAATTATTCAAAAAGAGGCTGAGGTAGAAGAGGTATTTCTCCAACTGAACTTTAATTGAGTTGATAAAATGGTGATGTACATAACAAATGTTATACAATTGACACACCATTAAACTAAGAAAATGTTTTATTGGACTGCTATAAAATGGCTATGTATTACCAAGCAGAATATTGGGCAAACGATAGACTACTGGTCTGCTTATATATTAAACAACATAAAAGTTCCACTCAAGATATTTCATATATAACTACTATTAGGTTCAATGTTTAGAGAACTGAAACGGGCATAGAACCAGAGAAGGGAGAGGTTCATGGGTCAGAGGTTCAACCAGGGTCAAATCGGAGGTTGAACCGTGATGATGTCGCATACACACACATATATACTATGAATTATATAAATACTATATATAATATATTTTACAACTTTTAATATACTTAAATATGGTGGATGGATGGTAAGTTCCTTAATTTTTAAATCAAATGACTAGAGTTCAAATCTCTTAATATACATTTTCTATAAAATACATGTATAATAAAGTAATAAGTACAATAAAGAGTCATTAATTAACACAGGAAAAGAGTCATTAATTAAGCAATATATGAAAATAGTCTTATTAAACATGTTTTAAAATTTCAATTATTTAAGGACCTGGGTGGTTTCATGAAACCAGGACCGGTTCACCGGTTAAATTGGACAGTCAGTTGGTTTCCACTGGGTTTTTAGCAAATATGATTTTTGGGATGTGACCAAACCGGCCAAGGCCCCAGGTCATGGTTCAACCAGTCCGATTGGCCAGTCTGGTCTGGTTTCTTGAACACTGATAAGATTAGTTTACTTGGTCTGTACTATTGATTTATTATGAAGCAATTCCAGATTTCCACTATTAGGGATGGGTTCTTCACTTCCTTGTAGCTGGGACCAGAACCTCTTCCATGGGCACAATTTACTCTTGGTTAAATTTAGGAGCTTAGGGGTATCACCTGATGTCTTAGCTACTTGAAATGTAGAGTTGAAAACCCATGAATGCATGTGTGGGGTGTGACTTGGTGTATTCAGAGGTTTTAAGAGCAAAAAAGGGCCCATTATCCAATGATGGTCCTGCATATCTGGGGTCTTGAGAGCATAGTTGTCAAGGCGTTGCCTAAGCAACTAGGCTCTTCACCCAAATGCCTTGACTTATAGCAACTATGTGCCCTTCTAGGTAACTAAGTGCCCTCATAGGCGATAAAAATGACAAGGTGGCCGCTTTATATAATATCATTTACATTGCTGTATCTTATTAATATGTGTTAATACATTTTAGTATATACTATATTTATATCATTTATATTTTGTTTTAATGTTTTACTATTGAAATTTAAAAGATCAAAGAGTTTTGTAGGAGAGAAAAAGAAAGAAAGAAAGAAAAAAAGAAAGAGGAAAGAAAGAATAGAAGTATAAAGAGTTTCTTTTCCTATTCTCTCTCTCTAATTAAATAAAACAGAAATTCCATCCTTGTTTTTGCTAATTTACTTTCCATCTTGTAAATTTATCATATAAAGTTAACCTTCTTTAGCTGCTAATTGATATGAAGTTGCCCTATTAAATACTTATTATAGTTGTATTATTTTTGAAAATAATGAAATTAATATATGTAAAAGATTTTTATCTTTTAGATGTGATAATTTGCCACATTTTTAGAGGAAATTTAATGTTCTTAATAAGAAAATTGCTATTTTTTCAATTAATATACATGCTGAATGGTATTTAAAACTAGGGAAGTAGCTAAAAGTTAGTTCTTTATATTATAAAATTCTTATCACCTAGGTGCCTGCCTAGGTGACTAGGTGCCCTAGTGTCACCCAGAATCGCCTAGATGCCTTGAAAACTATGCTTGGGAGGTGGTGGACTGGATACAGACTTAATATCCAGTATTGTTTGAATGAAGTTATTGCTCTGAGATTTGAAGCAATGTTTGTTAGCCTGGGGTTTTACCATTTTGCGAATCAATAGACCCTCTTATTAAAAGACAAAGGTGAGGCCAAAAATAACCTTTTTTAGGTTGTGGAGATAGGTTTATGGTTGATTCTTTTCTGTTGCAAGTCAGCTAACGAAGATGATGACTATGATAAGAAGACTGACGAAGATTATGAATGTGGTTTCATGACAGCCTAATAAGCTACTCATGGGGATCCCTTTGCATTAACAACATTTAATGTTTCTCTTGTCTAGATCAGCTCCATACTCTTTTGTTCATTTAAATTCCCCTGAGCAATGTTTCTTTTTATTTGTTAAATCATTTTCAAGTAAACAAGGGTCAAAGAGATGTCCCATTTGACTTAGATTTTTGGGATGTACCTTAGGCTTATTTTAGGCAATATTTATTTTTGGGTAAGTTATTGACCTGGGTAAATAATGCACTTACCTAGGTAAGTGTTTCCCAGGTAAGTGGTATAGGTAAGTGCATTTACCTGTGTTCTTTCGGCCCAGGTAAGTTTTTTGTGTTACCATTTTTATCCTTTCATTCTTTTATTTTTAAAGCCTGTTTAATGGGCAATTTTGTCAAGCTAGTTAGTTTTAGCATTCCCCCCCCAAGGTGGGAAAGCTACTTACCCACCTGGGAAGGGAAACTTCAGTTACCATGGAACCCACCTTTACTGAAAAATGAACACAGGACAGTTGGCCAACTTTCCCCTCCATTTACCGAAAAATGAACACACCCTTAGGACCCATAATAGTTTTTTTTTTCTTGTCTTGCGGGGCTTGGTCAGGAAGGAGTTTAACCAGTTATGATATATTGAGAGGGAATTTCTTGTGGGTCCTTTATTCTTCACTGGAGTCTCCTGACAAGCCCCTGCATACCAGGTTTGACTTTCTGGAGAAGGTTCATATGAGATTAGACAGGATTTCCATTGGAAAAATAGTCTCCTTGATGGGTGGGTTCAAGTTTTTGATGCTATTTGGTTATATTTTGTGATGTATACAAAGGGAATGGAAGGATTAGTGAGCCTGACCTGGAGTTTTTCTCTTAGAGATGTATCCTAGGGGATCCTTACCTAAATCTAAAGGCCATTACCCAATGTTGGTCCCAGCTATCTGGTGTCTTGGGAGAGATGGACTGGAGACAATCCTAGCCTTTGGCATTTTCTTGCACAAAGTGGCATCTCTCAGACTTGAACCTTTTGTTCTCTCGCTTGACAGCCCAAGATTTTACCATTACACCAAGTAATGGCCCCTGGATCCTAACCTTAATCTATGGCTTACTAATAGAATGCATATAAAAGGAGGCAATAAACAATATCAATTTAATGAACTTTTGTTTCCCAGCTCTGCATTTCAGCTTGAGAGAGTATGGATGAACGAAGATCTGAACATTGTGCTTATTTCTTCAGCTTTTATCCTCATTTATTTTATTTTAAACAAGTAGGGGCAGAAATTGCACTTATGGGCATAGGAGTTCTGTGAGCCAAGATATGAAATACAACCCGTTAGCTATGCAAACATTATAAATTCTGCTGACTCCTGTGGAATGCTCTTGATATGCATTGTTGATATTTCTTATTCACCTTTACTACTTGGTTCCAAAGATTTTGATATGGTGGGTCACAGGATCCTAAATCTTTCTGTAGCCAGGATGATGAACAAATTACTTTAATATCAACCTATGGAGGGAGCTGAGAGGCTCTTGATTATCCACTTGGTGAGTGAAAGGAATGACAATTTTGCAGCCTGGTTCTCACCTATTAAGGCTCCCTTTGTTTGCAATGCAAATCTGAACCAGATAAAAAATTTGCACCCAGTTAAGGTTTGCATCTGTTTGCAATAATGTTTGCACTCTTATCTGATTCAAAATTTGTACTTTTGTCATATTTGCACTCATTGGCATTGCAAATTTTGCATCTTAAAAACTGTTACAAAATTTGCACCACCTTCCACCTACTTCAATTCTCATTCATGTAAAGTGGGGAGCATATCTGTCTCCTAGACAAATAACCCTCCTTCCTCCATTCTTTTGCATGTAAGGTGGGAATAACATCATTTTACTACCTATTTTACTTCTCAAACAACTAAGACAGTCAAATCTGAAGCAACAGTAAACCAGAATTTACAAACAGCCTATTTGTACTCCTAGCGTTTAGGCTAATGCAAATGAAATTTACACTGCAACCAATCTAAGCCTAAGGAGAGTTGATTTTCCAGTGCATCAACTTGCTTAAGAGGCAACTGATCCTCATGGGTAGTTGACTCCACAAGTGGCTAAATAATAGATGAATATGAAAAAATTGCTAGCTACCGCATATTAGTTTCTTATTATGTTCTAGTCTGTTTGATATATCTGTCTGTGGATTTTGATACCTAACCTAATATTAGTAGAGATTTGTTTTTCTATAGTATAAGTTATTTGTTAACAAATCTTGTGATTAGGGTTTAAATTGTACTGCCCTCTATGCAGGATATGTGCAGAAAATTACAGCCCGCAAAGACATTGAGGTTATGGAGGACTTAGACAATGGGAAACCTCCCTGACAAAGATATACACAAGTATATCTGTTAAAATCTCGATTTTCCTTAAAATTTTAAGTTCATTTTTTTTATGAGCTCCCTCGTCTGCCACGATTTTGTAATGCAATTTTTGTTATTATTCTTTTCCTCCTATTCCATCCGTTTATGATCTCTCATTATGTCATTATGCATGGCAAAAGTATTTTTCTTTCCATAAAAAGAAAAGGTCTGAGATAAGGCAAATAGCCAAATACAGTAAAATGGCTTCCATTCATGGCTTTAAAGTATCTTTTCACCTGCTTGTAAGAAAGTTTTTTCAGAAAACTACAGAACTCAGTTTTGCCTTTGCCCTCTTGACGTGGAAGAGAATAACCCATATTCTTAATTTTAACCCCAACCCATGTGACCCACCCATTTGAAAATTCCATCTAAACCCACCCATTCCAATGGTGGGTCAATATGGGTACAGTTACCCATTAGGGTCAGAGGAAAAGGGTCAGGGAGGGGGTGTGTTGAGGGTACCTATTGGATCATAACACTTAGGATTAAGGTTCAAATGAGGAAAACGCTTGAGGGTTTGCATAGACAGAAACAGAGAGTTGGGAGACGCAGTGATGGCCAACGACTGACGGATTCTATGAGGGGAAAGAAGAGAACTAACGGAATGCCATACTAAATTTACACAACTAAGGGAAGGAGAGATTGGGTCTTGGTCTTTGCTATTACCTTCATGGCAAAATAAGGCCAAAGGGCTTTGTATTTTCTCCACCATTGCAGTGATGGGCGATGACTAAGGTTTGATTTATCGACTCACCCGATATGCCGGTAGGGGTGTATCGTGCGAATTGATACTGCATTTTGTGCCTTTTTTTTTTTATTTTTTTCACAACTAACCAGTCAGACCCCCAATACGCTATATCGAAGGGGTCCTGGAACGATACATATCGGCCCTACGTGTGAAATCTTCAATATATTTTGAGTGTTTGCTTTTTCTTCTGATAGAGTGACAGTATAGATCTGAAATTTGATAGACACAGAGTGATAGAGTGACCGTATAAATTTGCAATGGAGAAAATTCAAAATTTGAATTCTTTGTTAGACTTTTTAAGGTGAAATTGTTAGAATTCTTATTGCTATTTGTAGGACTTTCAAGGTTCCGTGTAAAGCTTGTTTAATTTTATTTTGGAAACTTTGGAATTAGTATGACAGATATTTTTCTTTTCTTTATTGGGTGTTATTAGCCACATTCTTCCGCACTGATATCAGCCCCCCACAAGGTCCCACAGTACATCCCCACTGTGTATTGGGAACATCTCTCAATGATAATATCGGAATGATGATGTCATCATCGGGAGATGTTCCCAATACATGGCAGGGATGTGCTGTGGGACATTGTGGGGGGCTGATTTGAACTCCATTCTCCTGAAACTTTTCAAATTAAGGGTCGTATTTAAATTTTATTGAGATGAATTTATTTGGAATGTTTTATTGTGTTCTTTTCTAATTTTCTTACATATGAAACCTTGTCAACGTTAGACTTTTTTTTTGGAATTTCTTGATGTTTTTCTGCATTTTTTTTTGAAAATTTCTATTAATTTCTGTAATTTTTCTACATTTTACTATTTTTTTTGTTTTTCTCTACAGTGTTACACTTTCTTGTATTTTTTATTTATTTGCAATTAATTTTGCTTTTCTATATTTTCTCTTTTTATGCAATTCTCTGTTTTCTTATTTTTTTATATTTTCCATTGTTTTTTTTTGCATTTTAGTGTTTTTCTATAATTTCCACTGTTTATATAATTTCTGTTTTTTTTTTTGCAATTTCTGTTTTCTGCAATTTATACATTTCCTGATTTTTTGTTATTTATTTGTAATTTCTGTGTTTTTCTATATTTTTTTGTAGTTTTTGATAATTTATGTTGTGATCTTCCACAGTTTTATATTTTTCTGCAAATTTTCTACAATATCTATTGTTAATAATTTTTGTTTTTGCAATTTATTTGCATTTTCCTGTGTTTTCTCCAAATGGGTGGGTCAGTGTCAAAATGGGTTGTGACCCACTTACAACGCACTCTGACCCATGGGTGGCAAATGGGTAGTCATTAGTGTGTCAATATGGGTGGATTGATACTCAACCCTCACGCAATCCAATCCAATCCACCCATTTGCCAACCCTACTCTTAATTAGTCATAAGGGTGTCAATGGACCGCCCGTCCAGTCCAAAATCAATTTGGACAGATTGGACGGACCAAAGACGTATTAGATTGGACCGATCCAGTCCAAAATATTTATTAAATTGGATTGGACCTAGTCCATCCGTAATAAATTTATATTGGATTTAGTTGGATTAAGCCAATATCCAGTCCATTGATATAAGATAAGAATATAGGTGTCAATAAACCGGGTTTGTGTTGAAACCAATCTAATTTAAAATGAATTTTGAACAAATTGGATGGTCTGAATATTGAATTGGACCGATCCAAAATGGTCCAAATTATTCATTAGATTGGATTGGACCTGGTCTATTTGTAATGGCCTCACATTGGACTGGATCGGATTGAACCAAATTTAGTCCAATCAACACCTCTAATTAGTCAGTGGAAGGTATTGATCAACCCAACCCACCCATTTGCCACCCCTACTCTTAATTAGTCAGTAGGAGGCGTCGACTATGACTAGGTGAGAATTAGTCACTGATACGGGTAGACAGTAGACACTACTACACTAGTCACGATGGCTTTATTTCATGGACGGATTCATAACATGATGAAACGGATCATGAAGCTTAGGGCTGCAACATGGTTGGGTTGGGCTCATCTTAAACTCAAATCTCAAATCTAAACTCTGGCTAGGGGCCAGCCCAACCTAAGGCCAAAGTCCGAGTTTTGCATCCCAAGTCCCAAGCTAAACCCGAACACAGCCTGTGTTGGTCTTTATAGTCCAAGTAAAAAGTAGAATAAAATAAAAGTCATACTAATGTAATTTAGTATAATATATACTAAAAATATATTTTAGGTCATGTTTGGGAGTGTTTAACAATAAGTGCTTATTTGGACCATTAAGCACTTATTGGTATTTGGAAATAAGCCTGAAATAAGTGTTTATTTTAAAAATAAGGGCTTCTTTTTTAACCCCAAATTTCTAGCTTTTTTAAGTACTTATTTTTAATTTTTTCTTCCAAAATTATCCCTAATTGAATTTTAAAATATCACTTATAAAATTATCCCTAGTAGAATTTTATAAAACTACTTTTATGAAAGCACTTTTACGAAAACACTTTACAAAAGTACTTTTATGAAAGCACTTTTACAAAAGCACTTTTATAAAAGTACTTTTATGAAAGCATTTTTACAAAAGCACTGAGTATTTTTATGAAAGTATTTTATTTTCATAAAAGTGCTTTCATAAAAATACTTTCATAAAAGTACTTTTGTAAAAATGCTTTCATAAAAGTGCTTTTGTAAAATGCTTTTTATAAAAGTGATTTTATAAAAGTGTTTTTATAATAGCACTTTCATAAAAGTGTTTTTATAAAAGTACTTTCATAAAAGTGTTTTTATAAAAGTACTTTCATAAAAGTGTTTTTATAAAAATAATTTATTAAAAGTGATTTCAAATGATATATATAAAAATTTGAAAGAAAATGAAGGACAAAATAGTCACAAATGCTTATTAAAGTGCTTATTAGAGAAAAGGCTACCAAACGCCCAATATAAAATAAGTGCTTATTTTAAAAAAAGAAGCAATTAAAAAGTTGGGTGCCAAATACAAATAAGTGTTTATTCGAATAAACTCTTGTTTTTAAACACTTACATAGCCTTAGAGTGACATATTCATAACATAAATATATAATGTGTATACATGCATGGGGTAAATATTCTATAGAAGGTTAGCCCCGGTCATGTCAACTTCCAAGTTGTAGCCTCAGTGAAGCCCACTTGAAACTTTCTTTTATGGGGAAAAGCTTTGGCTGTTTGGGGCCAGACTGTTGGTGGACATGACAAGTTACCTAGAGAGTGGGGTAAAAGAGTAATTTCCCCTATTTTCTTTTGACTAGAAACTTAAATATGGGCGTGAATGGATTAATGTTCAAGAACATTCTCAACAGCCTAAGGCCGTTGTCCTCCAACAGCTAGAGTTTTTCTCCTATTATGGATATCAACCACCTATGGTATGTGATGTCTTATGAAGTATGATAAGACACACATACCCCCCTCTCACCAACGAGTCCAGATCTCCTACTGACAATGATGCTATCCACACTTACCCACATGAGATCGCAGTCACACATATCAGGAACATCTCATGCTTTTACATGTTATTATGCTTGGGGAGATGTTCCCAATGCATGGAGGGAGTGTTTTGTGGGTAGAGTTCTTGTGTGTAAGAGATTTGCAGTCCCAACAGAAACCCAGGTGCAGGCGAGATTCAATCCCAAGTTGCTGTTACAATTAGCAGGAGACCTTACCAATTAGCTATCATTTTGTGGCAAAATAAGAAAAAAAATGACAAAGATATATACGTCCATTTCATGTCTGCACCTTCCAAGACCAAGATAATGGGAGCAAATATATATATATATATATATATATATATTGATGAATAAGATAATGGAAAAAATTGGTGATGGGAATTGGAGTTGTAGCATGTATGTATTCCACTCTATTAGCTTTGTATCCTCCCATTTGGTTTGAGACATATTTTCGCATAAAGCCCGGCCACTCTCTTCAATAGTGGCTACTGGCTAGTAAGGAACCGGTGGAACATGGAATGGAATCATTCAAGTAGTTTTGCTCCAACCATCTAATGAAAAAAAGTAATTTTGCCTCAGTCTAACTGACAAGAGGCATTATTCTCCATAAAAGAAAGTGGGGCTTGTAGAGTGGAAGAGAGAAAGGTGGCCCACTCTAAATGAAAGGGTACCGAGGTGGTAGAGTGGGAGAACAGACGATCCCAGCTTGGGTAATGGCTCTCTTTCATTTCGGAGGTGTTTGTAGAACTGTAGAGATGTGGGTTACAGTAGAATCTCTCGTTATGACAACTGATCACTTGATGGAAGGGCTAATGCGTGATTTAATGGTTCTCAAACATCCTTGAGACAAACCAAACAGACCTCTTATTCTAAATAATAGAAAAAAAGAGGACGTGAAGAAGACCAGAATGGCAGAATCCCACTAA